CATCCATCCATCCATCATCCATCCATCCATCCATCCATGCAAATTTGTGACTTATGTTTTTTTTTTTGCGATTTTCATTCACTAATTTGTAAACTGTAATTAAAAATGTGTAATTCAAACTTTCTAATCTCTGATTCATGGTTTAAAATGTTTGATTTTTCTTAGAAAATGAGTCATTCTTACTCTTAAATTAGTCGATTGCAGTAGTAGATTACAATGCAAATAACTTCTATTATGGGATGCTCGGTAGCCAGAGGGTAGCACTGCTGCTTTGCAGCAAAAAGGTTGTGGGTTTGATTCCCAGCCGGGGGTCTTTCTGAGTGATTTAGATATAGATCTAAATCAAATAGTTTCTTTAGTCCTCTGACCTTAATATGATAAAGGGTTTTTTTTTATTTTTATCTCCAACAGCATTTAAATCATTTGTTGATTATAATATCTGAGGAAACACTGCCCCCTGCAGGCCGTTAAAATGATTTACTGTTTTATTGAAAGTTTAAAAACTTGATTAAAACTAGAGACGATAGTGAAAACTTTAATTCCTCTCGTGTCTGAGGACTTTTAAGCATGAAAGCGATCAAAAATGGTAACTTGCCCTCTAAAGCGTTAATCCAGAAACTGGTTAATCTGGTCCAGTTATTTCCAACCTGATCTGAAGAATTGATGAACATCTGATTACGGAGGATCTACTGGTTTAAATCATGGGAATACTGGGAATGTTCCTCCAGTTCAGTCTAACCTTCCCTTCACTGGTGACCTGACTGCACCTTCTGCTGCCTCTAGTTCTACCGATCAGGACAGCTGAGGGTACCTGGCTCCATAGACGTAGAAGCAGTAGATGTGGAAGGTGAGCAGCGCCACCATGTCAGAGAGCAGCGAGAGGGCAAAGGTCAGGCCGAGGCACGCCGACAGGCCGCCGTACCACAGGATCCCCTGGATGAACGGAGACATCAGGTGGATGTAGCCTGCAGGACGAGAGGGCTGAGCTCACTGTCTGGGGGGGTGGGGGGGTAGATGAGTGTGTTGCTGTGACTCACTGATCCACAGGTGGATGTGGTAAAGGAAGAAGCGACCCAGCACCTGGTCCAGAGCCCGGTTCATCTTCAGGCCGGCAGGAGCTCCCATCAGCCACTGCAGCAGCTCCTCCAGCTGCTGAGCCACGCGCTGCGGGAAGAACACAGGGAATGCTGGGAATTCAGCGATCCACCGGTAACCAGAGCAACGGGAGGGAGGGAGGAGGAAGGAAGGAGAAAGAGAGGAAGGAAGGAAGGAAGGAAGGAAGGAAGGAAGGAAGGAAGGAAGGAAGGAAGGAAGGAAGGAAGGAAGGAAGGATTATTTTTGTTTTTTTTCTCTTTTCAACACATTTCCAGACCTGGAAAATCCTTAAACACCCTCCAGGCTTTTCCAGCCCCTCCAGGAATCCTGGATGCTGGAGATTCAGCCTCGATGGTTTCTGCTGCTTGAAGTCCTAGAAGTTAACGACCCTCTAACATCCAAACTAATCTCCTGATCGTCCATCAGTGAATTTAGCTTCATATTAATTCCCAAACTTTCGTGACTGAAGTTTAAAACGTTTATTTTTCTCACATGTTCTTAAAATGAGGCGCAGAGTAAACAGCACTTTTTCTCTGAGCGTGACACGCCGCCTCTCCTTCAGGCTCCGCTGCAGACCGACCGTCTATGAAGACGACTGGAGTCTGATCAATGAAACTTTCAATAAGGGATGTTTTGCCTAAAAGGTCAAAATAATTTCAATAATGATGTCACCTCAGATGACATCACGGCTCTAAACTAAAGATCTGTGCCGTCGCGGCGGCAGACTGGTACTGTTCCTCCTCTTACAGCCAGTAACAACCCTGCTGTAGTTTCAACGTGTCGCCACAGGGGGGCAGACTTCAGCAGAGCCGCTGGTTAACAGATACTTTGACCAGAATGGACCTTGTTGCCCCCCTCCCTCTATCATCGCTCACAGCAGAACCAAAGCGTCTGACTCACATCAGCTGCTGGCACCAGAGCGTCCGCCAGCATGGGGATGTGGTCGTCTCTGTAGAGCCACCACATGAGCGCCACGCCCAGCGCCACGTCCACCAGCACCGACACCAGGATGTTGGCTTTCCTGCAGACAGAGGAGGACAGGCGTGAATCCTGAGGTCCCTGAGGCTGCAGCTACAGGATGAAGCTTTTCTCACCTCATGAAGTCCACATGAGTGGCGGCCGCCTTCGGCGAGCTGAGCGTCCGCAGGTGTTCGGTTCTGTAGCTCAGCTGGATGCAGGTGGACAGTTTAGAGGCCAGGAAGCGGAGCGGGAAAACGGTGAAGATCCTGAAGGAGAGAAAAGATCAAGACAACGTCAGAGGAGAGGCTGCTTCACACAGCAGGGAATTTAAGGTGGTCCTGAACCGGATCCAGGACCGGATGCAGGACCTGATCCAGGAACGGATCCAGGACCACATCCAGGACTGGACCCTAGACCTGATCTAGGACCTTATCTAGGACCAGGTCCAGGGTTGGACCCAGGACCGGATCCAGGTCCAGATCCAGGACCAGATTCAGGGTCGGACCCAGGACTGGATCCAGGACCAGATCTAGGACCTTATCTTGGACCAGATCCGCAACCAGATCGGGGACCGGATCCAGGACTGTATGCAGGACTGGACCCAGGACCTGATTTACAGCCCTATCTAGGACCAGATCCGGGACCTTATCCAGGACCAGATGCAGGTTCCGATCCAGGACCGGACCCAGGACCGGACTCAGGACCGGACTCAGGACCTGATCCAGGACCGGACTCAGGACCTGATCTAGGACTGGACCCAGGATCTGACCTAGGACCGGACCCAGGACCGGACTCAGGACCTGATCTAGGACCGGACCCAGGATCTGACTTAGGACCGGATCCTGGTCCGGATCCAGGTCCGGACCCAGGACGGGACCCAGTACCTTATCTAGGACCAGATCCAGGACTGGACCCAGGACCTGATCTTGGACCTTCTCCAGGACCAGATGCAGGTTCGGGTCCAGGACCGGATTCAGGACCTGATCCAGGACCGGATCCAGGACCTGATCCAGGACCTGATCCAGGACCGGATCCAGGACCGGATCTAGGACCTGATCCAGGACCAGATCCAGATCTCGGTTCATCCATTTTAACGCGTCGTTCATTAAACTCAGACCATCTTTCCTTAAAGTCAGGACTGGATGCAATCGGCTGCTTTTCCTTTAATCTGACTGAACAGTTTCTGTAAAGATCTGTAATCTGATGTGTGTAGAGATCTATAGAACGTTTAGTTTAATGCCTGAAAAGGTTAATCTGATCATTTCAGATTAATTCCAACGTTGAGCTCCAGCCTGGTTCTTCTTACCGGACGTTGCAGATCCAGGTCCACACAGCGAGCAGCCAGCTGAGGAGGACGCAGAGCGGCGCCGAGGCCTGCTTGAGCAGCTCCACGATGATGCTGGCCTCCCGGCCCTCAGACTGCCAGTGGGTCGACTTCAGGGGCCCGTCGTCGTACTTGTCCATGAAGAAGAGCGGCTGGCTGCGGGCCACCGTCCCAAACATCTGGACAGGAAGGTTTCATTTAGCTGCTGGTTTGACTCCCAGCAGAGAAGGAAGTGATGTAATGTGGTTCTCATCATGAGGTACCTGTCTGAGCTCAGAGTGACTCTCTGAGTCCTGGACCTGGATGGGATGAAGCTGCGACAGCATCACCTTCCTCTGCTCATAGTGGACGAAGATCACCTTCTCCTCATCCTCCTGCTCTTCATCTCCACCTTCCTCAGGAGGCAACGTTTTACCTGAATTCTTTTTGCAAACTGAAGAGAAAATCCTTTTGATTAGTTGATTATTGAGATGATTTTCATTTATTAAAAGTTTTTAAAAAACAACAAAATTTAGACCCTAAAGCAGCGTCAGCTTTTTGTTTCAATGATAGATTATTAGATTATTATTGCTCCTGTTGCTTCATGAACAATGATAGATTATTAGATTATTATTGCTCCTGTTGCTTCATGAACAATGATAGATTATTAGATTATTATTGCTCCTGTTGCTTCATGAACAATGATAGATTATTAGATTATTATTGCTCCTGTTGCTTCATGAACAATGATAGATTATTAGATTATTATTGCTCCTGTTGCTTCATGAACAATGATAGATTATTAGATTATTATTGCTCCTGTTGCTTCACTAACAGAAACTCCGTCTTGGTTTGCAGATTCTCACCCTGATCTCGGCCGAGCACCTCGCAGGTGAAGCCGGTCTTCCCAAACTCGCGGCTGATCTGGAGCCAGCGTTCCTGAGGGAAGATGGTGCTCAGGTCCTTCAGGAAGCTCTCCATGCCCTCCTGCCCGTCTTTGGGAAGACTCCAGGAGCCGAGCACCGACAGCTCCACGCCACTCTGAGCCTGGACCTGGGTGGAGAAGATGGACGGCGGGGAGGTCAGACTGCATCAGAAAACATTTATAATGCTGATGATCTGCTTCTGGTCTGAGTGGTTCTTTAGAAAACAGTAGAGAACATCCAGCAGCATGAAGACAGAGGAACCCAGCAGATCCACCAGGGAGGAAGTTCTAGTTCCATTTAAAGTTGGGTTATATGGCTTCCCAGGGAATAACACTGATCATAGAGAGAGGATGGAGCGTCTACAGGCCTACCAAGACGTGGACGTCCACCGGGACAAACAGACAGGCTGGACAAGGAGAGCATTAATCAGAGAATCAGTCATGAAAGCTCTGGAGGAGCTGCAGAGATCCACAGCTCAGGAGGACAGAAGCTTTAAACTACAACAAGTTTGTTTTTTTCCACAAAGCTCTTAAAGAAAGTCAGAGGAAACGGTTGGTCACAAATCGTCCCCACAGTGGACCACAGTGGTGGCAGCATCATGCTGCAGAGAGAAGAGGTCAGGATGGGTGGAGCTAAATACAGGACAACCCTGAAAGGAGACCTGTTAGTCCAGAATATGTCCAACTGTCCTGAGCTGGTGGAGACAAACTAGAGAAGAGAAATATGGTTCAACAAAGAACTGATTCAGGGGCGCAGGCCACACTTTGAAGATTTCCTTTATAAAAAAAACATTTATTTCCAAACTAAACTCTCCTTCTTACTAATCTATATAAAAAAATAATAAAAGACAATAAAAGATCTCTACTGGTTACTAGAACCGATGTCAAATATTAAATATTATCATCCAAAGATATGATCTAAAAGAAGATATTTGGAAGAAGATGCTTCGGTGATTCAGTGGTTAGCGCACACGACCATCTATAGAGGCCTCAGGCCTCGATGTGGCTGTGATGTTCGACTCCGACCTCTGGCCCTTTGCCGCATGTCTCTCCCCCCCTCTCTCATGCCCCCTGTAGGGGCTAAGCCGACACTTAAAGCCACTGGAGTGTTTTTAAACCGGAATCTTATGGTTGACGCTTCACCCGGGGTGAGATGGTAAACAGGAAATGTCCAGACGCTGTTCTTGTAGTTTAAAGCTGATTTATTCCCACTGTTGCTCGCTTACAAAAACAGACAGCTGTGGAACGACAGCGTTTCCCGGCTGAACCTGATTTGCCTTTTATGGTGAAACACACGTCCATACACACATCATCTCCTTTCTTTATAGAGTTTGTACATATTGGCTTCTACACCCCCACCTGTCAGCCTACTGTCCATTAAAATCAGCCACTAGTGCCGTAAAAACTAAAAATAAATAAATAATATATCATATTAGTTTAGGAGACTTCTTTAACTGAATCCCAGATTAAACTGATGCTCTTCAACCAAACAAGTTTTCACCGAGTCCTTTTATTCTCTGTTGAAAGCCAAACTGAAATGAGTCCATCCAACTGTAGCTGACGTAGATTTTAACTGTAAAAGAAAGTTTAGTCATTATTTAAATCAGAGGGGCACTGACCTGCTGGATGTACTGCTTCACCTGTCCTGGGATGAACGGGTAGTGGATGACCGCCAGCACCACGGCCGAGTCATGGCCTGAAACCCAGCGGCCCACCAGCAGCCCGCTGTCCGCCCGGTTGCAGCACTGCGGGAAGAAGATCTTCAGCACCATGACGTCCAAAGTTCTGCGGAAACACAAGGTTCATGTCACAAAATGAGGGATTATTCAGCCTGTTGGATGTTTTTTAAAGGTAAAGAGTAAAAGTTAAAACAGGCAAAGAGGCGGGTTCCCTGGTTCGAGTCTCACAGGCTGCTGAGGAGGATCCTAACCCCTAGCTTTCTCCCAGAGACCTGCAGAAGGATGGCTTCATTGCAGACAGTTACCAATGCTATTTTCAAATTTGTAATTACATACAAAGTTTATTATTATCATAAATTCTGAGCAGCAAAAGCAACAAAGACAAATAGTCAGCTGACTGGAATAAAACTGCAGATGCCCTGAAAAAAAACTGCTGCTAAAAAACAAAGTCTGCTGACTGGTAAACAGAGTAGGATGGATTTTCTTTAGCTATTCAAACACATTAATTACATTTTATAAAAGAAAAAATAAAGCCGAATCAAAGAATTGAGTCTTGTTTTTCACTCATTTAATCGTGGTAATCTGTTCTGTTCACAGAAAAGCGCCAGCCGAGAAAACGCCTCTAAATCAAACAGCATCTAAGCGGAGTTCGGGGAGACGGTTTCCCTCCGCCCTTCACCCGGGCTGGTTGTCATGGTAACAGGGGGAGCCCGGAGCTGGAATGTCATTGATTTCTGCCATATTGATCTCATTTTATCAACCAAAAGATGAAAAGTAGGCCGACTGGTGTACCAGCTCTAAAATATACAGTTATAATCAACGCGGGGGAATATTTTTGAGTAGAAACTACTTAAAATAAAAAGGGATTATTTTCTGTGCTTTCTGTTAAAAGCTCCTATACATTAAAGGCTTAAATCTTTGCCGAATAACAAAGGTTAAATCGGTTAAATCGTCGTTAAAACAGGAAATTGTTAACTGAAGGGCAAAGAAAGGTCAACAAGAATGTTATAAATGTTCATTTTACCTTTCTTAACGCAATATAACGCCTTCACCTTCCCATCAAAGCCCAGCAGTTTTACTTCAAGACCATCGCCATTTTCTTTGTTTATAGTCCGTCACTAAAATCGTCCGGTCGGAAACAAACGTCTGTCTTTATTTTCCGCTCAACAAGGTTGACAGAAAAAAAAGAAAGGATGGAAAGAGATCCGGTAACAGAAAAATATATCGTCCATGACAGCGATACGCTTTCATACGGAAGACGATTAGGGCCACTGAAAAAAAAGGTAACTGATTTTTAAACATTATTTCAGTTTAATATGGGAACAAAAGTAATTTCCCTCTGGGATTATTAAAGTATTTCTGATTCTGAAAGTTAGAAATCGGACTTTAACCTCAGAATTCTGACTTAATTCTCAGAATTCTGTCTTTAATCAGATAATTATGACTATATTCTCAGAATTCTGACTTTTTTCTAAGAATTCTGACTTTAATCTCAGAATTCTGACTTTAATCAGAATCAGAAATAGTTTAATAATCCCAGAGGGAAATTACTTTTGTTACATGCTTCAGATGCAAACATTTTAATACGTATATATATATATATATATATATATATATATATATATATATATATATATATATATATATACACACAACAAACCACACAAGATAATATAAATATATACCCATATAACTATATCTATATGTATATATATGCATATGTATAACAATAAATTCAAATAAAGTGATAGTGACGTGCAAAAACAGTGCAAGGAATGAATAAATGTCCATTTCAGGGGGGGTTGAATCACTTGAGGGAGGCGTTGTAGAGATTGATGACCACAGGCATGAATGGTTTCCTGTGGCGCTCTGTGGTGCATCTGGGTAAAAAGAGTCTTCTGCTGAAGGGGTTCAGCAGAAGACTCTTTTTACCCAGATCCCTGTTGACGCTATGTAGGAGTATAAATACCAGGGAGTGTAATCTGCGAATTCTGACTTTTCTCTCAGATTTCTGACTTTAATCCCTGCATTCTGACTTTTTTCTCATATTATACTGAAATACAATTTAAAAATTAGTTAATTTTTTTAATTTTTTCAGTGGCCCCAATCCTCTTCCGTACTTTAATTTAGTATTACAATATTTTAAATTGTTTAGAGCAGGGGTGTTCAAGTCCAGTCCTAAGGAGCTATCCTGTAACTTTTAGATGCATCTCTTCTCTAACACACCTGAATGGAAAAGCTTAATCCCTCATTAAGCTCAGCGGATATGGAGAGCCATTTCAGCCAAAATTAAATAAATAAATAAATGGGTGAAATAAATAAAAAATGAGTAAAAAAAAATCAAAAAATGAAGAAAATGAGTGAAATAAATTTCTGTATCGGTTCTTCTTAGGGAAGCTGCCGATCGAATTACAGAACGTGCTGCACCCTCTGTGTTCGCCATTTCTAGACTGCTTTTCGGAGGGAAAGTCCACAGGAACTGAGCGCTGCAGTTGCATCTAACTAACCAATAGGCTGCCATTGTAGCCTGAAGACACCGCCCCTCATTATCATATTAAAGNTAACAGAAAAATATATCGTCCATGACAGCGATACGCTTTCATACGGAAGACGATTAGGGCCACTGAAAAAAAAAGATAATTGATTTTTAAACATTATTTCAGTTTAATATGGGAACAAAAGTAATTTCCCTCTGGGATTATTAAAGTATTTCTGATTCAAGTTAGAAATCGGACTTTAACCTCAGAATTCTGACTTTATTCTCAGAATTCTGTCTTTAATCAGAGAAATATGACTATATTATCAGAATTCTGACTTTTTTCTAAGAATTCTGACTTTAATCTCAGAATTATGACTTTAATCTCAGAATTATGACTTTAATCAGAATCAGAAATAGTTTAATAATCCCAGAGGGAAATTACTTTTGTTACATGCTTCAGATGCAAACATTTTGATATATATATATATATACACACAACAAACCACACAAGATAATATAAATATAAATATATACCCATATAACTCCTATATATGTATATATATGCATATGTATAACTATAAATTCAGATAAAGTGATAGTGACGTGCAAAAACAGTGCAAGGAATGAATAAATGTCAATTTCAGGGGGGGGTTGAATCACTTGAGGGAGGCGTTGTAGAGATTGATGGCCACAGGCATGAATGGTTTCTTGTGGTGCTCTGTGGTGCATCTGGGTAAAAGGAGTCTTCTGCTGAAGGGGTTCCTGTTGACACTGTGGAGGAGTTCAAGTACCTGGGAGTGTAATCTGCGAATTCTGACTTTTTTATCAGATTTCTGACTTTAATCCCAGCATTCTGACTTTTTTCTCATATTATACTGAAATACAATTTAAAAATCAGTTAATTTTTTTTATTTTTTCAGTGGCCCCAATCCTCTTCCGTACTTTAATTTAGTATTACAATATTTGAAATTGCTTAGAGCAGGGGTGTTCAAGTCCAGTCCTAAGGAGAGACCATCCTGTAACTTTTAGATGCATCTCTTCTCTAACACAACTGAATGGAAAGGCTTAATCCCCCATTAAGCTCAGCAGAGGCTGAGTAACGAGCCACTCGTTTGATTCAGGTGTGTTAAAAATGGGGCGCATCAAAAAGTTGCAGGATAGCAGCTCTTGAGGACTGGACTTGAGCTCCCCTGGTTTAGAGTTCAATATTCATCAAATAAAAGTTTTTTGTTACTTAATATTTATCTTCGTTACATATTATTTATTTTTTAAATTACAAAAATTATTTTTATGTAAAACAATCAACATATTCTTTATACTTATCTTTATTGTTGCTCTGTTTAAATTGAATTGTACTTTTTAAATAATTAATCTGTAATAACGTTGTTATAATCGTAACTGTTGCATTGCTGTTTATTTATTTTTCTGTCTGATTATTTTAGTTTTTTTGTAACAAACTTTGAATCAGATAAGTCAGACAGTTTTTCAAACAACGGTTAAAGAAAAATATATTTATCGGCTCCACCTCTTGATAAAAGATCATAATTAGTAAATTCAACTGTTAATTCCTAAATATTGGCCCATATGTTTACTCACATAGAGGTAACTCATTATTTATCCATTTCAAAGCAGTTCTGTTTGGTACAAACTGACTGTCATCTGATATTATAAAAATAAATAGGTCAAAAAAACTACTTCTTTATATTTAATGTAAAAATATATGAAAGGAAAAAGTTTTGCATGGGAAGAAATGGAAATATGAATGTTTATTTTACTCACCAGCTCAGGGTTCTGCTCCTGTTAACATCCAAACTGTAAAGAGTTTATCTCCTCCTGCAGTGACACTGCAAGAAAGAAGCGGGAAGGAAACAGCAGATAAAGAAAAACCTGCAAACTCTGAATAATCTTTCCTCACCTTTACTTTAAACAGGTTTTTATTTACATTTTAAACTTTCAAACTGTGGTTTATTTTATGTTTCAAAGCCCCATAATGAGATATTTAGATGGAAACTGGAGAACTAAGAACTAGGGATATTTAAACTACATTACCCAGCAGCAGCAGAGCCAGAATGCGGCCGCACTGGATTGTGGGTAAGCCGGAAGTAAACAAACACACGTGGAGCATGGCGTTTCCAGAGCAGAAACCTCAGAGGAAACGTGAGGATGTTTTCAAGGAATTTCGGGAATTGTTTTTCTCCATGAACCGCCTGACTTCATTTCCCTGGACTGTGAGTAGGAGGCGAAATGTGGCAAAAGGAGGAAGAAAGCTGGTAGACAGTAAATTCATAAAAATATATATTTTTCGGGGTTTCAACACTGGAAACATCCAGTGGGGGTCATTTAGAACACTAAAGGCTGAGTTAGTTTATTATTATTAGTTTATTTCTGCAAATAAACCGCTGATTGATAAGTATTTATTAGCGCTAACCAGTGATGGGCTGTGTTCGAATTCATGGGCTGCATCCTCCAAGGAGGCGGTCTACCTGGACTGGATCCTTTGAAGTCCGTGAAAATAATGAGACCGGGAAGAGTTTGGATGTGGATTCAACCAGGTCCAGCCTTCTGTTGCTATGATCTGTCGCCTAGCAACCGTGATAGTTGACACACA